ACCTAGGGTATTTCTGGACATGGGACTGTATGGCACTCATAGCTTTAAAATGAAACAAGCAGCCTAACCCCAAGCCAACCACCATAGTCACCACTAGCAGCTTCAATTCCTTCTCAGGGGGAGGAAGAAAATGTTATATAATGCAACAATGGTCAAGGCCTTTTAGGTTTGTGGGGAAATGAAATACCTTTAGAACCAGAAATTTCTCATTTTATAATAATTGCTGGCTTCCTTACCCTCCCAAACCTCACTAACCTTCAATTCTTGTTCTCTGAAGGAAATGCAGTAATTATAAACACCCCTACATTCTTAGGCACATTCTCCTAAGTATGAATGGGTTTGGAATGCACCATAGCGTGAGTTCTGATTTGCTAAACTGTTGTAGTCACTGGCAGCTAGAGAACTTCCTGTCTGTCTGGGAATGATGACAGCTGACACCTAGAGCTTTTCACTTTGTGAAGACCAGTTTTCCCCCTGAGAAGAAATGCAGAGCCAGGACAATTGTCTGTAAGAGAACATGAATGATCTTTCTGAAAAGCCTAAGGAGCACAGACCCATAGTATTAGAGAGGTTGCTAAACACTTGGAAGATTATGCTGATATGAATGCATTAAAAATGTAAAAAATAAAATTGAAAAACTGCTTCTTTGTGAGAGAATCCCTTAAGAGAAATGAGAGACCCTAGAAAAAATAACTGATTGTTGACTAGGTAAAGATCCAATGGTCAAAACCAGACTAAAGAATTACAGGTAGTTAAACACGTGATATAATTAGTATTTTTGGGTAATACTTGCTTAAATGACAGCTGTAATAGTAAACAATGCTGGGAAAATACTCTGAAAACGAATAGATTTTTGTGAAGGGTGAATGTTTTCCATAGGTAAAGTCCTAGCAATGTTCTATTTAACAATTTATATTTTATAAACTCAAGTAATTAATCATTCAATTTATAAAATTTCATAAGCCATTTGCCTTAACCAACTTAGTTTTTGAAATGTTTAAATATGTAGAGACTGAGTCCCTATAACAAAAAGCTCTTTTTTTTTGTCTTAAACATCCATGGCAACCAAAAGAAATAAGCTACAAATAGTTTATAGCTTTCCTATTGTTTTCAAAAAATTACCAAATCTTCTGTGGAGATTTTCTATTCTCCAGTTCTTCAAGTTTCTAAAGATTGTGAAAATATATTTCACTAAGGCTAAATGATATTATCTTATACAGAACACCCAGTTAAATTTAGATAAACAGCAAATGACAAAACATTAGACAATCATTATTTGTTGTTTATCTGAAATTCAAATTAGACTGAGTATAATGTGGGTTTTTTTGCCTTATGTTAATTTTAGAAACTCTAAAACAGGTGACCTCAAAAGATTACCCAAGGGATGTAAGCTAACTAAAGTGGAAGTTCCATTCTTTGTCTAGGGTTATACTTTCAAGTATGCCAGTTACTAGCCACACTTGGCTTACTGAGTACTTGAATTGCGGTTACTTCTATGTAAAATGTTCTATGATATGAAAGACACACCATGTTTTGAGTGTTTAGTATAAAACTGTAAAATATCTAATAATTTTTATACTGTTTACATATTGAAATATTATTTTGTATATGTTAGGTTAAATAAAAGATAAAATTAATATTGCCTTAAATTTTTTCTTAATGTGGTAACTTGAAGACTTAAAATTATGTATGTCTTTATATTTGTGGCTTCAATTATTCGCTGTCTTTTTATTTTTTACTTGAGAGTAGTATTCTAAATCTAGAGCCTCTAAGGAAAGAGTAGCTTGGATTTTTCCTTGTCTTATTTCTGAAGTAAATCTTCAGAGCTATCTTTTTCACTTCTAGTTATTACAGTAGATAAGGGAATATGATTACACTTAGGAAACTAAATTTCTCCTAGGGATTGTTTGCATGGACTGGTTATAATCATTTAAAAAGTAACAAACATAGCATTTATGAAAAACACCACAAACATTTTTTAAGGTGCTAAAGATTAAAACTAGGGCCTTGTGCATGCTAGATAAGCATTCTACCTACCACTAAACTAAATCCCAGCCAAGAAACCTGATTGTTTATAAATTATTCATACGTAATTCAAAAAAAGAAGTGTTGTGATGTCTAAAATGTATATATAAAAATAACACACACACATATAACAACTACATCCCAGTTTCTGTACCAATAGGTTGGGTTTTCATTGTTACATATTAATGATCAAATTACAGAACAACAGTTTATGTGTTTCCTATTTCTGTGGTATAAGTTCTTATTACAAATTATTGGGACAAAATGTTAGTTTTGCTATTCTAGATAGCAAAGTCAAAATCTTAATGGTTCCATTTAATACATACATGCTATAAACTGATCTGAAATTAGAATACTTTTATACAATTAAATTTTTAATTTTAAAAATTACCCTGCCAATGTAATATTGGTATTGGATATTTTTTAGATTAAAATAATTTTAGTTATAATGAAGCTTTAGTTTGGGGGGAAATATTGTACTTTATCTGAACTTACAATCTCACAAGTTTAGGATTATGAGGGTTCATGTTTTTTGTTGTTTTTTTGTGCCAGTCCTAGGGTTTGAACTCAGGGCCTGGATGCTGTCCCTAGATTTTGTGCTCAATGCTAGTGCTCTATGGAGATTTGAGCCACAGATACACTTCATGTCTTTTGGCAGTTAATTGGAGATAAGTGTCTCACAGAATTTCCTGCCCAGGGTGGCTTCAAACCATGATCCTCAGGTCTTAGCGTTCTACGTAGCTAGGGTTACAGGTGTGATCCAACAGTGGCCAGCCAAGTTTAAGTTTTAATTACAAGTTTTTTTTCTTTTGAATGGCTAAACAGTTAATGCATTCATTAAGGGTAAAAATATATAACATGCTCTCACAAAAATAAATTGTATGTATGTATATATGTAAAACCTAAATTCTCAATAATATATATTCTTTCCTAATATAGTCTATATTGTATCCACTTTGAAGATTTAAACTTTTTTTAAATTACTCACAGTAAGACTAACTGTAACTCTAACTACATACATAAAAGTAAGTTGGTCCAATGTTTTCCCAATATCTAATTTTTTCTTCCTCTGGAAACCAACAAAATGCTATTTTCTTGGTCAATGTCTTTCATTAAGAATATACAGAAAGAACAATGCAATGGTCCATAAGAAAGGCTCACATCTTATACAAATAGTTTTCACTTTAAGAAAAGATAAATAAAATGAACAGATTGAATTTTTGTATTTTAACTCCTCACTGTCAGAAGTTTTATGAGAATTGCAATCTTATACACTTTGTTAGATGTTTAGTGTCTTGTCAGCCAAAGTTCTTCTTGACCTACTTCTAATACAGATGTCTTTCTGTATGCTGTTTTCCTGTTTTATCCAGGAAATAAAGGATATCCTAGTATCATCCTATTTAAGATTAATCATTTTAAGAGGTGTCAATAAATGCACAAGAGAACTAAGAGGTTTTCTGACATTAAGCATTATGAAGTAGTGCCAAGATATTACTTTCTCTTACATAAGGTTTCCCTGTTGGAACCAACATATATACTATTTATTTTCTGAAGATGAGAAGTTGAGAAAAAACTATTGATTTTAACTTTTAAAAAACACCAGTGGCTCACGACTGTAATCCTAACTACTTAGGAGTCTGAGATCTGAGAATTATGGTTCAAAGCCAGCCTGGGCAGGAAAGTCAGTAAGATTTATCTCCAATAAACCACTCAGAAGACCAAAGTGGCGCAGTGGCTCAAGTGGTAGAGTGCTAGCCTTGAGCTAAAGAGCTGAGGGACAGCGTTCAGGCCCAGAGTTGAAGACCCATGACTAACAAAAACAAAAACAAAAAACCTAGGATCTTATTAGCCAGGCTTCAGGGGCTCATGCCTATAATCCTAGCTAACCAGGAGGCTGAGATCTGAGGATTGAGGTTCAAAGCCAGCCCGGGCAGGAAAGTTCATGAAGACGCTTACCAAATTAATCACTAAAAAGCTGGAGTTGTGGCTCAAGTGGCAGAGCACTAACCTTGAGCAAAAAAGCTCAAACTAAAGCCCCATAGGCAGGTGTGCGTGCGCACGTGCACGTGCACACGCACACGCACACACACACACACACATGCACACAAATTAGGACTTTACAGAAATTTTACGATCATCTACTTTTTTAAAAATCAAAAAAGCCTGTATTTCCATACTTTCTGATGTTTAGCTTATTGCAAAGCAAAAATGACTTGACGGACATTTTTTTCTGAAGGAACAGCAATACACAGCTTCAAAAATCATGAAAAGCAATTTTTCAAAGCTGATTATATCAGTTCAAGATGTGATATTATCAGACTGATTGAATGCTATTTCAAAATTCTATTTTTTTGGTGGGGAGGGGCGGTGCTAGGATTTTAATGCTTGATAGACACGTACTCTACCACTTAAGCCATGCCTCAGCCTTTTTTGTATAACTTAGTTTTTGAGATAGGGTCTTGTTTTTCCCCCTACATTTCCTATGAATTTATGATGACAGTTGGGCAACACCATGCCCAGCTTTTTATGGTTAGTATGAGGTCTTGTTCACTTTTTGCTAAGGCTGGCATTGATTTACCATCCTACCAATCCTCATGTCTTTAGGAAAACAGGTCTGATCCTCTGCACCTAATTTGTTTCCAAAGTCTTGAGTGCAAAACTCAAGCCATCCAATACAGTTCCTGACAAGTAATTAAACTCAGCAGTTATTAGTGTATTTAGATGTAGATGGAACTGGAAAACAAATTTTGCTATAACTGCTTTTAAAAATAATAAAACTTCCATAATTTCTAGGGTTGGATTCATTTCTAAGTAATGAAAACTACCTCCTGACTATATGATGTCCTACACGTAAGCGGCTACAAATCTATTAGGAAGTCTGATGGTCTCAAACCCTAAATGGAGCATTCCAAAACCAGTCAGTCCTTCATTAGGAGATTGGGCCCACAAGTGTGCACTCACTACCCAGTGCTTACCTTTAGAGAACAAGGTGGCTGACACAAACTGATCAAGCTCTCACCCCACCTCCAAAAACACTGAAAAAGATCAGCAGATCTTTCTTGGTGCAGGAAGGATCACTTTATAATCTTCTGTAGTAGAAGTTAAAGATTTTCCTAAAGAAGAGAAGGGTAAAAACAATTGAGATCATACCATTTGGATCAAGTTTATCTTTCTATATTACAAAATGAGGATTTAAAAATTAGATAAAAATCATAAATATTTAAAAATTTACATTCTTAAAAAAGTTATCTACCAAAAATATTGACTGGTTCAAATATTACTCTTTAAACAAAATGTTGAATAATTTAACTTACATTCTCCCTGAGAAATTTGAAGAGTTGAAAATTTTTGGAAAAAAATCTATGCCATCAAATGGTCATAGAAATAAATTGCATTAAAAGTTAATGCTGCTATACTCACTGAAAAGCAATGAATCAAACACAGAAGTTGTATTCTGCCTCTATACTGTCAAATTATATATTACTCCATGACAACAAGTAGCACTCTGATTTGTGTTAAATGCCATAGAATCACTAAGGAATCAATCTATTAGAATATAAAACTCTGTGAGGAAAAGTAACTTTAGCTTTCTGTTTTTAATGCAATGATAATCTGTAGAGTCTTAAATAAATCTTGGCAGATTTTGTACGTATTGATTTTTTTTTCATGTGTACGAAGAATCTTAACCCATTAGTCAATATTCTTAAAGCAAAAGTTCCATAAAATGAAACAATCAGGAGCCTATAAATGTTCTGAGGGGTCAGCAAATATGGTCTAGGAAATAATATATTATAATAAATTATATACTAATATAATAATATAAATAATATACCAGTGTGATCATATAAAAAATAAATGTTCAGGAAAGCTTTTTAAAGTTTTATCATAAAATGTTCATAAGAAAATGCTATTAAATGTATTATTACAATCTAAACTCCTGAAAAGAAATGGAATACTTTAGGGTCAGGAGATCACACTGTGTGATTTAAAATAGATTACTATATATCAAATATAAAGTTTTAATACAGATGAAATACTATGTGCTTTCTTAATAACATAGAATTACTTTTCACTTTATGGGGAGTATATTAATATAAGCTCAGGGATAAATGGCTATTTATAGCTATAATTCTGTCTAAATACTGACATCATATATAACATTAAATTGAAATTAGAGGATGCCATCCTAACATTATGATTTTCATATGCATTTTAAGTATGTATGTACATTCTGTTCAATTTTTAAAGTGACAAATTTTAAGAAATACTGATCCCTATTTACTTAAGTTTCTGTAAATTAAAGGAGATTATTAAAAACAAAGAGACTGACTTCCTTGAAATGTTTTCTAATTCTTCCCAAATTAGATTAAGGGGAAAAAAAGGGTCAGTTACAAATCAATGATGTTGATTTAAAAAAATTAAAAGTGTATACTGTGTGTGTGTGTGCACACGCACGCACGTGCATGCATGCGTGCACACACACACACGCACCCACTCTAATCCTGGGACTTAAACTCTGGGAGTTGTCCTTGCGGCTTCTTTTGCTCAATGCTAGCACTCTACCACTTGAGCCACAGCTCCACTTCTTCCTTTTTTGGTATTTATTGGAAATAGCCTTTCAGACTTTCCTGCTCAGGCTTGGCTTCAAATTGTGATCCTGTGATCTTAGCCTCCTGAGTACTAGGATTACAGGCATGTGCCACTAGTGCCCTATAAAACTGTATACTTTTAAAGGTCTAATATGCAAGAACAGTAAAGTTAGAAGAAACAAGTATTTGAAAAGTACTACAGTTCATTTGCCTCCAAATTCTAAAAATGTAGGATTAGTCCTAGAAACAAATTTGACAGCTTTATTAATGGTACACTTCACTTCAGGGTAGAGGCTACCTATTTTTGTATAGTCAAAAACCACAGTAAATAAACAGGAAATTTGCATTTTATTTTTACCCTGAATCACTGAACTAATGTCCTATCTGACAAGTTATACTTTTATTAGTCATAAAAAGTTTCCCATGCTTCAAAAGTAATTCAATTTAATATCTAGTGTCAGGAAGTCAGATTTGAAATTTTAAAATTTTTTGGCTAAAGAATTTTTAGCATGTACAAAATTTCACTTAATATAATTTTCCTATTTTGGGCAGCTTATATGGCTTTGAACTAATTTTGAGGGCAATATGTAAACTAAAGAATTAAGTTCAATAATAATATATGAAAAAGAGCTTTAAAAGGGTAAAGAATACTAAGTTGGAAAATTTACTAAAATGAAAATATTCCACAAAATGGCTGAATCTCCTAGGCTAAGGAGGAAATAGTTTCCTAACACAGAAGAATTATTTACATTGGTAAAATAATGGATCTTCTGCTCTAGTCCCACTAGCAGGAGGAACAATTTTTCAGTTTACTACATTCAGAGACTTAGTATCTAATTTTTAATTCCATTTGTAAATACAGATTACTAAACCACACTAATAACCTGATTTTAAATTCCTTACAAAACTGTTCTAAACCACTCCATCCTATTTTTCATCCTATTTCTCAAACTACTCTAAGTGAAGGACTGTTTTCCCACTTAGTGGACCTGTATTCAGGGAATATTGCTCTTAACTCACAACAGATAAAATTCTTCAATACAGTTTCGTTAACAAGACTGGTCTAAGCTTCAACCAGATGTCATGGATGATGTGCTTGCATGACACAAAAATACAACATTGCTGTATAATAATTGTGAGGAAACCACAGAGACCCAGAAGAAGCATTTAGTCATGGATGAGTCTGCAAGTCTTAAAGGAACACTGATCTAAGAGAGGTAAGTGTAAGTAGGAGGATGTGAACAACATGCTCTGCTCAAAGATAAGCAAATAATCTACTTGTTTATAATCTCCTCTGAATGTCCAAACTCCTAAAGTACTAAATGTTTTGAAACCAGGGAAAGGGACTGATTTCACATCTGTCTTAACACTGGCAGAAACCTGGGAGCCATGCAGCATAGGCAGAGAAACATGCATTTGTATGACATTGTGTCAGTTACAGACTGAGGCCGTATGTCTTAATTCTTACTGACGATAAAGTCAGAAGTTTAGAGAAAATTTATAGCTCAGTCTCCAGGTGCAGAGAGGTCTCTCCTATATGGAGTACACATATATTCTTGTATCACCACTATGGTTTTAGACATAGTTGTTAATGCCTTCTGGTATTCACTAGGGTGAGACTTCTCTCATTGTAAAATCTCTGAAAAATAATCACTAGGTATTCTGAACTAGAAGGAAACTTAAAACTTCAGAAATTATTTTTGATCAAATAATTAGTCAATAGTTTCAATTAAAAATAGATTCTACTTATTTGAATCTTAAATTTTTGTCAAATAGAAAGATTTTTCCCAAAAACCTGGTATCACTCTCAAGCTTATTATTTTATTTGTTATAATTCTCAGTTGGAGATTTTGAAAGTAGCTTTTTCAGCAGATATACATACAGTATCTTTACATTTTATCATTTAAATACATGGTTTTAAAGTCTGTCTTAAATGTTCTATGTAATCAATCATGATTTCTGATTTTTTTGGTAGTGGTACTAGGGCTTGAATTCTACACCACTTGAGATAGATATGCTTCTACTCTTGGCTTTTCATTAGCTAACTAGGGTATTAACAATCTTTCAGATTTGTCTGGCTTGAGTGGTTTTGAATTTGGTTTCCAAACTTCTAAAAAGCTCAGATCTCAGTCTTGAGTAGATAGTGAGAACTCCTAGAGCCCATCTTAGTATTTTGATTTTAATTCTTCTTGAGGAATTATTAACATTATTAAGTGTGATTAGTGATAATTGATAAATATAAAAATGGTGATTGTTTCATTCCTGAATTAAAGCTTCACCACTTAGCTATTGTTAAAGTGATACTGTACAGTTTGCTGATTTAATGAAGTATCTTATTTCTTGACGCTCAGCTTTTCACCTACAACCTGCCTTTCATCACAACATAGTATAAATGGCCAGTAGAACTGGGGAAGGTCTCTAATTCCTATTTGATCAACATAAACATTGACTATATAAAGCTATCCCAAACAATGTTTATGAAAATCTAACATATAACCTTATTTTACAGAAGTCCTCATAACCACAAATAAAATTAATATTCCACATCTTATGTGGTCCTAACTCTGGATCTTACACTAAGTATTTAAGAAACCACATTTTAAGCATCCAGGCTTCTTTACAGGATGACTATGTCAGGTATACCAAAAAGCCTTAGTTTATAAGGGAAATATCTTTTTACAGAAGAATTTCTACTAATGTGTGTGAAAGGGGTGACAGATTGAAAAACCGTCTTTTCAAAACTGCAGGATAGAACTGATTCAGAGAATAATAATCAGTGGATGAAATCATGAAAAGGTCAAGAGAGACTGAGCTGTCACCATTGTCCAATTTTAGTACTGCTAAGAATGTGAAAAGTAGATACTGTATGCTCCCTCAGGTGACACAGTTCTGAGGAATAGCTCACATAGCAAGTGCTCCTATCTCCTCTCATCTGTAGTATCAAAAACAAAGTTGAACCAGAATCTAATAAAGTGTTTTGAGGCTAACTACAAATTTACAGAAAAACTGGAAGCTAGAAGAATCACTTAATATGGAAAATCAAACAAAAACTCCAAAGCAGAAAGCATACTGCTGTTTCTTTAATACCAAGATTCTTTAATAAGTCATGAACAAGAAGTAAGAGAGGCAGGGTAGGAGTGTGGGAGAGGAACAGGAAAGAACAGAATAATAACTGAGGTAAAAAAAAAATGGCTCAAGAAGACATGTTACTTATCTATTTTCCCAACAATCAAATGCTATAAATTGTTTGAATTATGACTGAACAACGGAAATGCAGTGTGACATTCACCAGTCAAAAGGTAGCTGAGGGGCTGGGAAGGTGGCTCAGTGGTAGAGCGCTTGCCTTGCATGCCTGAGTCCCTGGGTTCGATTCCTCAGCACTACATAAGCAAAAAGAAAAAAGCCAGAAGTGGCGCTGTGGCTCAAGTGGTAGAGTGCTAGCCTTGAGCTGAAGAGCTGAGGGGCAGTGCTCAGACCCAGAGTCTAGGCCCCACGACTGGACCCAAAAAAAAAAAAAAGGTAGC